CTGAACAACAGCTATTCTCCTTCCTGACATCAGACCTTGTTCCCTAGTCAGAAGATCAAACATCTCCTGTTTGCACTGTGGAGTTAATCACAGGCGTACAGGCTTGGAGACTCCCGCACGCGTATATCCACTTGAAGGGAGCTGGAAGCACCAAAAAGGACTGAAAGAGCCTGGTCCAAGTCTGCTACGGATGACTGCTGGGGCTGCGGGGCGAGCCAGCTTTCTATCAGATCCGCGAGATGGCTCTATCAGAGGGAAGGAATGCAGGGGTCTGAGTCACTGTGCAAACACGGCAGCGAAGAGGAGCTCACAGCACAGAACTCGGCTGCTGACAGAGAGAAACGCTCCACTGCCAAAAGGAAGCAAAAGCGTAAACATCGGAAGCATCTGAAAAGTGCCTGGAAGAGTTTTAAAAGTCGCCACAAAGAGCCAACAGTAAATCTGGCAAATAAGCTCAGCCTGTACCACAGCACAATCTTCCCAAACATTTTGGATCACAGACCACTGCCAGCTGCTTGGACCATCACACGCTCATCAACACATTCTAATGGGTAGCTCTGGAAACTATGTTTCTACAAATTCCTTGGCACAGCCCCCTAGACCAGCAATGATCACTGGATTACAGTCTGGCAACTGGTTTTCCAGGGGAAACCTACAGCTCTGAAGTTTCACAGTGGCTCTTTTCATTAAGCAGGTAGGTTTGGTTGTTGGGTGTAATTCTGTCTCAGGCAATAGGGATGGAAGGCTGGCTTCTAGAGCTGGAAGCATGAACCCCTACAGCTTATTAGCCAGGGCTGTTACAGACCCACACCTTCTGCAGGTCATACACCAAGCCAGGGCTGCTCACAGGCTACCCTTCAGGAACACAGGCCCTGTTTGTAAACTGCAGCCTGAGTGAGGCACCCAGAGCACACGGCGAGGGTCGTTTCGCTATCGCAATTCTACTTCTAGGAGTCGAGAGGCACTGAACACTGGGAAAAGCAAGAGGTAAGAAAAGATTAAGCTCATTGAGAGAAGACGACTTTGTGATTCACTGAGCCTCTGCAGCCCCAACTAAAAGTGGCTAAAAGCTGCATATTCCACCCTGCAATCAAGATGCAAAAGAAGGATAGAACGAATAAAAACATCACGGTGAGCAGAGCCACTGCTGTCACGTGACAAATCCCACCAACAAGGGCTCGAGGACTGGGACCAGTACTCGGGGGTTCCCACCGAGGAAGCTAGTGAGAAACAACCTACTTTCTCTCAGACTTGGTGGCACAGCTTTTTGCCCACACTCAGGCACTGGCAGGAAAAGAGAGAGAGGAAGGTAGAAATTTGGAAGTCATGAGAAAATATGAGATTAAACGCCATTCTGTTCGGGAGTGGCTCCAGAAGCAAACATTCTACAGTCCTGACATAAGCCTGGCAGGGCAGTGCCCAGTCAGAGAAAGGGAGGACAAGGGGTGCCACATCAGCTTTAGTAAGAACCAAGTTCAGCTGGGGAATCGAGAAGGTCACTCTACAATCAGAAAGAGCAGCATGTCTTCCTGCTGCAGCTGAAGAGCAGCGATGCGAGGGAGCGTGATCTGTGGTTGGAGGGCTACAAAGCTTCATCTCCTAATTCTACCTATTCCGGATTTTTTAAACATCACCTTTGTGTGTGTGTGTGTCTCTTCCACCTAGTACATCTTCCCAGTTTCAACAGGAAGCAAGAAACTCCTGTGCTTGGCCAGTCACAGCTAAGGCCTGGGAAGGCACTGTGGGGTGCTGAAGGTACTACGTTAGTTTGGTGGCTTGACAAAACTCTGAAGTTTTGAAGGGGAAAAGAGAAACACCTGTGTCAGACCCTGGTCTCCCCAAAATGCCTTCGGGTGACAGCTACATCACAACACAAGCACCCAGAAATTGTTTCAAGTGCCTACATACTGAAAGAAAGGGGGGAACGCTCGGTAAAGAAAGCCCAGAGGAAGCACCTACTCTGAGCAGAACCCACCAGTGAGCCCGGGGAGAAGCCAACAGGCGGCAGATGTGTGTGGAGCAGAAGGAGCCAAGGCACATCTCACTTCTGATTCCTGAAGAGGCAGCAGCCTAGCTAACACCCACTCCACACTGGGCCATGCTCACCCTGGCTACTTTCTATCTGTGGAGTGTGTCGTGGTTTGCACTCGCCAACACTCGATACTGATGCTTCCCTGGCAGCGTGTAAAGCAAGACAGCATATTAAGTAGCAGGTGCTCCTCTTTTTCACATCTCCCGAGCATCACACTGGAGATACCCACACCGAGATGGGTGGTTATACTGAATCTCCCATAGACCTACTCCTCTCCTGCACCAGGCACATAAGCTGCGACACCCGTACACTGATTCCCCTTTCAGACGAGCTTACAGGGTTCAGAAGCACCGTCAGGAAGAGTTCACCGCCACGAATGCTCTTGTCCAACTCCTTTGAGCCACCGGGATACTCGTTATAGAAGATAGTGTGAGTAAAAAGACCACAGGTCTGTCGAGGCAGAACCTGGCAATATCAGAGAAAAGCAAAGTTAGGTAAGAGGCAAATGCAACAGAATCTACACATGAATGTGTGAAAGCAGCACTCTGTGGACCAATATAAAGCGTAAAGAACATAAATGACATAGGTTCAGAGGACTCTTTTGATATTCCTCCCAACCATTTACTCATCACAGTGCAAACACATCAGTGGGATCTCGGTTTAGCCTTGTTGTGCTTGGTTCTGCTCTCCATTCAGTACTGACCTCTGGACCATACCGAGAAACACAGAAAGTGGCTTTAGCCAGGTTTTTAGTGTTTGCCTGAGTTAATGATTCTGGAAACACAGGTGGTATTAAGATTAGTGTCTCTGATGCAGGTCACTAGGAGACTAGCCCTTTGGCAGCAAATTGGGGTCTGCTCACCATGATTCCGTTATGGATGAATCCATGCCGGTACCGGGCGGGCCGTAGGTGTGGGTATTCCTCTGTGCTTGTTACTTGGATGCTCCAAACGGATTTCCATGCCTCGTAGAGTTGCGTGTGGACAGGATAAACTCCAGAATGATGGGGGGCTACGGCATAGCCCAAGTCTGTGGGGATCCCATGCTCCTGGAAGCAGAATATGCAGCTTGATCATTCAACATTTAACTAATATTCTTAGTAAGGACCGTATTTATTTAGCAACCGACTCCAAGTTGGAGCAAGATGACAGAATAACAAAAACTCTCCAGACTGGGAAACCTGGAATACTGCTTGTACTTCTTGTTTTATGCATCTACAGAAATATAGGGGTGATTCTGTATCAACAAGGACATTCAGCACTGGTAAGAGCTGCTGTAGAACGGCCTTGTAGCTTGAGGTGTGACAAATCAGATTAATTCACAAGCCTCGGGTCAGGCTCCTTGGTTACTATAAACTCATCAACACTGTTAAGTGACACATCTCACTCCCACAATGCCTAGATCTGAGTCACTAGGAGGAGGAAAACAAAATTTCCTTAACTGATACAGAAGGAAGGGAAGATGACGACTGGGATCTGTCTTGTCTCTAGCAATTCAAAGAAAAGCAGACGTGAAGCAAGAGACTGTCGAGGGTGAAGATACGGGGCCTGGAGCTATACTAACATGACAGGAAATATCTGAATTTTAGAGTTTTTAATTCCACTGTGTGGTTCTGGTAACAATATGCATGATGACAGCTCTGCCCTGGCGGTGTACAATAAAACCAGAGCCCCTCAATGAAGCAAGAACCTTATCTTCCCCACTGCTAGCCTGTTTTACGTTAAATATGTGTAACTGTTCTGTGCTTTGTCTCTCTTTGCAAGAGGCTACACTGTTATTTAACCAGGAAAAGAAGGAGCCTAAACTGTTTCTATAATGCTGCACCAGTGCTCTGAATTCAAGATCATTCCTAATCTGTGTGTGTTCATGGGAACACAAAACACCAGCCTGCTATTCCCAAGGGGATTACCATCAAAGGAACCAAACTAGAGGTGAAGAGGACTTCAGAGGAACACGTACACTATATTTGACTCTGAGCTGTAAGCATCAGGCAGATATTGCTCCAGAGATGCAGGATGTCCAAGGCTTCCCCCTCCTCTGCCAAAACCCAGGGAATTTCCCCTGGACTTCCTAGATAAGTAACTTCCTCCAGCATTGTCTGGGGAGGCCAGAAGCAGGGCTGCTAGCACACAGAGCATTTTACCCTACCAACCAGGTGACTTCCTTACAAAACCACAGTGAATAAAGATGGAAAAGGAAATGCTTTCTCACTGCCAGAATTTGTAAGTTAATTGGATTTGGATGGTAATGCTATGAGTTCACACCTCAGCAAACAAGAGCCTTGGGATTTGCACCCTGGAACAGCAGAGCTGCCTGGGGCCATGCAGGTGCCAGGAAGCACTTCCCATTGCACAGGCAGGCATGGAATGCTGTTTCTTGCCTGCGGACAGCAGGAGCCACGCACCAATTTAAACTTGCAGAACTGCTCTTCTGAAATAGAGCTGAGTTCCTAGACTGCTATTGGGGTTCAGTGGGGTCCAAACAGCTATTCCAGAAGAATGTTTAAGTGTTGGTACTGTAAAGTAAACTGTGATGCCCTTTACCACAGCAAACTGCTTGTTGAGCTTCATCTGCTCAGCCAGCACAGTGACATTGTGGAAGAGGTGAGGCTGCATGTGACTCCACATGTGAGGGAACCACCAGAACTCCTTCCTGTGTTTGAGCAGCATGTCATCCCCTTCATCTTCCTCGTCTGTACCTACAGAGAGCAGGAGTGAGAAAACAAAAGGCAAAAGGGGGTGCTCAGTGTTTTAAAGCAGTGGCTAATCTTCTGCAATGCTAGGTAGTTCCAACAGAGAATCATGCTCTCTCCAACACGTTACACACACACACACAGAGTCATGGGGGCCATACACAGGCCCTGGGATGAAGGGGTACCAGGAGCTTACCTGTGTGGTAGAATTTCCCTGAGAAGCCCAGGTTGAAGGTGAAATTTGGGACTAAAGTTCTCAGCTTATTCTGGGTGCTCAGTAAAGCCTGTTTGAATGAAAGGAAAAATAAATGCTCATACTCAGTTGCTCTGTAACATTTCTCTGTGCTCTACTAGTGCCCAGTTCAGTCTGAAGTGGTATCACGGTGGATGGGGCTAAGACACTGTTGCCTGTGGAGCGAAGCAGAGTAGCCAAGTGCTCCACATGCACCGCCTTTACTTGAAGCAGTCCTGTTGTACTAGATGATACTGCTTTAAAACTGCAGTCAGATGATGCTGTCCACTGTGAAGGACCCAGAGTACCTGTGCTAAGGCAACGGGACAATGTATCTCACTTCCAAGCAACAGATCCCTTACTCTTTCTAGGTTTGACCTCATTGCTCCCTTCCTCTCCCATGCTGGCTGGGACTTTGCTACTGAACCTCTGCCCTTTCTCTGAACCTACGTGCTAATGAAACGAGGACAGGGCAGCGCATGGTGCACAGTTGACGGAAGTCAATATTGTGAACAGGAACTAAGCGATCCAAAGGGAGGGCACTTCTCTTCAGAGTGCAAAGGTGGATTTGCAGAACTAGCCATGCAAGGAGTCCTGCGGTGGCAGGGAGGTATCCCTGGCTTTGTCCCCCTTCAAAGTGCCAAAATCCTTTTGTAGGAGGAAAGTTTCCTGGATTCTGGAAAGAAAACTTGGGGGAGCTGACATTCAGAGTCATGACACCTCCTACAGGTTCTCTCTTGCTCACTTGTGTCTGCTTTAAATGTCCCAAGTAATTGCTACAGCCAAGGGAAAGGAGCCTTGCGTCACAAACCCCAAGAACCAGCAGCATACAGGGTAAGACAGCAGACAGCCTTGACAGAAAAAAACCCCAACCCAGAGGCTCAGTATGTCACAGAGAAGTAAGACACAAACCAATTCCAGTCAAATTTCTTCTGCTGGAAAACAATAAAATGAGAGAAGCCCCGAGATGCACGCTCCACTGCTATCTGCGTGCTTCGGGGAAAGCGTCGCTGGTGCAGCTCCCTACGGGGAAGTTCTCGTCAAAGAGGCACCTGGCAGGAGGGCTGTTGGCAGGTGGCAGAGAGGGTCCTTGCCCAAGCAGTTATTTAGATTTTAATAGCTTTTCTAGGAAAGCAATGGCTCAGTGGCTGACCAAGGTGAAGGTGGTGACCTTTCAACAGCAGACTTGGGCTAATGCAAATACGCAGCCAGCTTGGCACATAAGACTGGGGAAAGCACACAGCCTTTTCAAACCCTGCAGGGGAGATGGGCAGATCTTTATCAGCTGCCTTTCCCCAGCCTCAAGAAGCACAGAGAGCGCGACAAGGCTGCCTTCACATGGATCACGCTCTACCGGCACTGCTTAGGCAGGCTGCTCCCTAGGCAGTGAAAGGGCATTTGGAAATGCAGACTCCGGGTCAGTGGAGGGACTACCCCTGGCACCTATCACTTAAGAATACCCTCACAAATCACTGCTGTCACGAACGTTTCAAAACAGAGTTGACCAAACACCGATGACCACACTAATTTAAAAAACGATGACTTCTATAATTTACTTAAATCACCCATCCACTGCAAATGTATCCTGGAGTGGAGGGTTTGTATTCCCAAGGCAGGCAGCTCATGACCTTGCACACGCGGCAAGGTGGGAAGCAGACAGGATTTCTGCAGTGCTGCAGACACTCTTGGTGCTCTCTCTGAAGGAATCAAGCTTTCAGACTTTCCCCTAGAGACGCGCTTAATTGCTTGCTCCTCCTCCCCACGGCCACACAAGTGTGACATCAAATGCAGCCTGGGACAAATTTCAAAGGTCCCAGCTCCTCCATGGCCACATCCTTACCCCAGTCCCCAACCAAGAGTCATATTTTGAGAAATGTATGGCACATGACATCTCCAAAACTGATCACCAACGTAGGCAGCGCTTTTAAACCTGACATGCCAGCAGCACTGATGGCTGAAGCCTTCTTTGCTGCACAAGATCCAGAATAAGCAATGGGAGGTCCAGTTCCCCCCCACGCAACCCTGTGACACTCATCCCACATATCAGGGAGCACAGACTAAGAGCCTCTCTACAGAGGAGCACCTGTCTGCCCAGCTGGCTGACAGTACCACATCAAATTTGGGACCAGCACCTTCAACACGTGGCCCAACACCATAGACAGGGCAGCACCACTTTCTTTTCCTGTCTCCAGGGTTGTCCCAAGCCTCCCCACTTCCCTCTGAAAGGCACATCCAGTTCCTCAAACTCGGGTGGGAAGGTGGAGGGAGGAAAGACAGCAGCTAAGAGGCTTAGCATTCCTCTGCACAGAGGCAGATTTAAAGCCTGCCTGGGGTTACCATGACAACACATCTGTCTGATGATAAATCCCCAAAAGCCCTGCTCCAGCAGGCAGCAATGCTTTGTGTCTGGGGAGGGATGGGGGTGGGGCGTGGCCCAGAAATTCTGAGACTGTGGAGCCCTATGGAGTCCTGCTTTCCTGGCGGGTTCACTGCTAACCATGTGCCATCCTTCTGCTATGCTGGGTCCTTTTCACAGCCACATCCATAAGGTGGCACGGCACAGGTTTGAAGAAAGTTCTTCCCCTGCAGAGGGTAAAAGAGAGTGTGATGCCAAGTACAAATTTTGGAAATTTGTTTCAACAAATTTGGCGTTCACTGTTCCCTAGCACACTGGTTCAAAGAGGTTGGTGAGCTGTAGTAAGGTGACACAAGACAGATGTGGGAACAGACCGGGAAGATGGCACTTCTCTCTGCTCTGACTCCTCTGCACTCTGTTTCTCTTTTATAAAGTGGGATGAATATGATAGTACTAATAATACCTTACAGGTGACTCAAGTGGCTTTTCATTTATATCTGTAACGTGCTCTGAGATTCTTAAACAAAAGGCAATCAAGAAATGTGGAGTAGGCTATCCATTAAGGTACAAAATAGCTGGACAGATGCAAACAGATCTTCATGTGCAGATTTAAGAAATGTAGTTGCTCACAGGTCAGAAGGCTAGCATTTTAGCTATTCCCCATCTCTCGTTTCTTCCCGTAGAAAACTACCCCTCCAATCCCACAAAGCATTTCTGGTTTATATTTTCTATCTCCCATTCCAAAAATCCTTCCAAGATGCAGCCAAGCCCACTAGCTAGCCAGAAAGGCCCCTTCCCCAGCTAAGCTAGCGGCTCAGCAAGGCTCACCCCGGGAGGGCACAGATGCGGTCTCCGAGAGACTCCCAGCACTGGCCACCAGCACTTGTAACCCACATCAAGGCCAGACCTGCTTCACGCTTGTCACAGTCTATCAGAGAACATCCTCTGCAACTCCTGACCCCTGTTTCTCGAGGCCTTTATGACTTAACTGGGGGCAGCCACATCGCAGGCCCAAGTGACAGACATCTGCATTCCAACGCACCTTTCTGGGCACAATGCAAAAAGGGCCTAAACTTCAGTCTGATGTTTGATACCCATCCCTTTAAAAAAGGTTTTTTAGTAAACTCAAATGATGATGAATATTTACTTACAAGCAAATGTTAGGGGAAGAAAGCTTAAAGTTGTGCCTTTTGTTGCAACACATTAAAAAATCTCTATCATCTCACTGAGAGATGCCATCTCATGAAAGACAAAACCTCTCTCAACGGGGTTAAAATGCTAGGGGCGAGGAAGAAATCAGGGGAAGCCACAGCACCCTGACTGTACCCTCTTTAGATCGCTTCTTTAGGCCCTAATTCCCTTCTAAGATGGCACGGCATCCTTGGCATCGCAACAGAACGGGGCTAAACCTTCGTGCAAGTCTGCTGTTCTAGCTATGAAATTTTTAACTTCCAAAAGCGTCTGCAGAGATTTTAGCCACTTCACCTTTCCTGCCCTATCTCAGGTTCCTCTAAAAAGAGGCAAAAGAGGGGAATAAGGTTGAGTCAGGTGAGGGAAGAAAGAATACCATGAGCCTACGGAAACAGCATATGGACAGATGAAGAGAAACAGATGAAAAAAAATGGAGGAAGAAAGCAGAGTGCTTTGATGTGCTCATGCAAAGCATACTAGGAACATGTTGCAGGAACACCTTCTTCATAGGAACTGCCTCTCTGGACACCAGGTAGCACGTTCTCCAGAGGATTTTCTGCAGTCTCCTCATTGCCCAGCAGTAGCACTGGCAGAGCTCAAAACAGCGCTGTCAAAAGAGAACGCATTCATGGCACTGGGATTTCTACCTCCCCATCACTGTTAGAATCAGGAGGTTAGAAACTGCTGAATATTTTCATTTCAGGTCAGATCATCCTCTACAAATCAGAAAGACAAGAGCTGGCTGACAGCCAGCCATACTAGATTCTCTCTCTTCCACCCCCACCACTCATAACCCAAAATGAAACGCCTGTCCTTGATTTTCACTTAGCTTGCTCTCAGACTTGCTAGCAATGAACGCTCACTATTTATACCCTTGCAGAGACTACCAGCAAAAGAGGCAAAACCTCATCTACCTAATCTTCTTTCCGCATACCTAAAGACAGCCAGGAAGATTCATAAAAGCCAGATGCTTTTGCATTAGAAATGGCTCATCTTTGTTGTTGACCAGTTCCATAGAGGTTTGGTAAACTCCGAGGAATCTGATTTTAGAAGAGACTGAATGTGGAGTAACTCAGAAAGGATTCTCAGAGACTGTGTTTTGTTAATTACATGTAGCTCAAATCTCTGGTAAACTTTGCAAAGGAAAATTCTTTTCTGTGCAACTTCCAGCTGTTTCACTTCAACTGAGGACTGCAAGCTCCTACTGCAGAAACAGGAACTCAATGGTTATCCTCTTTAAAGCAAAAGCCAGCACGAGTCCTTTTTTCTTTTTAAAGAAGCGAGCTATTCAGCCCTCCCTTAGGCATCACAAATAAAAACATTTCTCCTCTCGCACAGGACATCTACCATGGGCATGCATTTGATCAAATGATATTCAGCACTCTTTTTAATCGTCATTTTGCCTGGGAAGCTCTCTGAACGTGGACCTGCATACAGCAAACAGGCTCACTGGGACAGCAGAAGAGTCAATTTTATTCCTTCGCACCCCATCCAATCTTCAAACCACTACCCTGACCTCTGCAATCCAAGCTTTAATATAAGGAGCTGTGTGTTGAGATAACAGCCCTGAAACAGAGCTTTCATATAAAACGCCAGCTGTTCTGTCACTGGTATATCCCCTCCTCTCCCCACAGCGAGAGGCTATCAACAAATCCATGTAGTTATTTCTCACTTTTAAAAAATAAAAATTCATTAACCTCTCGTGGCTCTGCAATCAGACAGCTCCTTTTAAATGGATAAATCTGGGTTTTATCTGCTTTGCTTGAGATTCTCTGCTTACTGATCACAGATTATTCCTCCATTTCACCCTGTTAAAACCCAAACAAAGCATCTTTTGGAATTATCTTGTCTGGGTTAGTTTTTAACATCACTAGAGCAGCCTTTGTTTCCACGAGCTCTGGCCACCTATCTCCTGTTTTCTCACACGGGTCCGTAACCTGCACAAACACTACGGTGGTGAGTGTCTCTGCTGGTTTGAACTAGAGGGTGCAGGGCCTGCTTAGGACCAAGGTAAGATTATTATCCTTCAAAAAAAAGCTTTCAGAGCACTTCAGCACCTCAAAACAGAGTGACACTGCAGTGAAGTGAAGAAAATTTTAGCATTTACCTTAACTAAGTATTATATACAACTGTTCCATTTTTCTATACCTGTCTGCTTGGAAACACTTTTTCTACACCTGTCTGCTTACAGAGTTATGGTCAAAAGTAGCGCTGAAGAATTACTGAAGACTGAAGCAAGTAAAATAAATGATAGCATCCAATGAGAGCTGCTTCAGGCATGCAGCTTCATATGAACTGAAAACATAAAGCCAGCTCCAAACAGAATGGAAGGGTTTCCTTCGACCCAAGCTAAACTTGGGGTCAGAAACAGAACTTAAAATCTCACAGACCTGAAAAAATGGAGATGAATGGAGATGTGTTGTACATGGATGCGTGTAACATGCAGAAAAGGAGATAAGCCTCCTAGTGAGGTGGAAGAGTGCTCTTGGGAACATGTAACAGATGAGGTTCAGTTCAGGTAAGGGGACACCCATGCACCACAGTATTTTGTTCCATACCTTTGCCTCGAATGTTCTGTGCCCTCGGATGAAAGGTTATAGAGTGCTTCACTTGAAACTTGTTTTAGAAACATGCTAAGGCAGCTGCTCTCACAGGTTTATTGTCATCATGGCTGGTACCAGGGAACCCCACTCAGGACCCATCTACCAGCAAGTCCTAAACGGGAATCCAGAGCGAAAGAGGCCTGCGGCCTCATACCTCCGGAACCACCTCAGCACACCTGGAGAAACCGGCAAGGCACCTGCCTCAATGGCTACAGACCAAACTGATGGGGAAGATACAAAGCCCTTGGCTCCATGACGCAGCATGTGAACACGAATTACAGACTCCGGAGAACACTGTCACATACTTTCAAGGACACAGAGAATTAGAAGGAGCTCTTAGTTTCCCACCTTCTTCCTATTTGTTTTTTTCCTTTGCCTGTCTTGCTTCCCCCTCCTCCACAAAATCTCTCTCTCTGCTTTCCCATATCCTTTCCTACTAGGTCACTGTATTACTCAAGGAACTGCCAAGGAAATCAAACCACAAAGATGGCATCTCTCTTTCCCAATCCTGAGGCCACAGAGACAGTTCTCATGAAGGCTTGGGCTGAGCATGTTTCCCTGATGAATTTTTGGAAATTTCCTGCCCAGAGATGGGGGTTGCTGGCGAAGGATATGAGGGGGGTGTAACAAAAGGTGAAAGAAAACCTTTCTTTTTCCAATTTGGTTACATCCTGCAAAGCTAGATGGCTAAACACAGACTATAGCAGTTTACAGCACATGGACTGGCCTACAGTTTTGCAATATAATATATACAGTTTATATATGTAATGAATAATAACACAATAAATACAGTCATTCTGTTCTATGCTATACTATTCTAACACAACTAGCCTTTTCCTTCTGAACGGTACAGTTTACAGCTACATATAGGCTGACAGAGGAATTCTGCATATGCTTGTTCCCTGTGGTAAAGAGGCAACAGGATAGACCACGACACGTGTCCTCCTCTTGAATTCAGAGGCACCTACAGGTCCTAGAAGGAAAAACGCTCTGTTTAAACCTGCAGAACTGTTAAGAGCATCACATAGGGTGCCTCAGCATCCTTGCAGGCCACCTCCTTAAGATGAGAACAATTGCAGCAATCAACACTTTCACTCAAATTAAATGCTGCCTTGACTGTCCTGGCATACCACACACAGAGACACTCTAGAAATTTGTCTGGGGCCTGTAGTTATTCTGGGGATTTTACCTCTACATCAGACACTTTCATGCGAGTGCCCTCTTTTCCCACAAATATATCATCAATGTCGACGAGGATATAGCGATCAAGCGTGAGACAGAGGCGCTTGCCAGTTAAGTAGGCAATGGCATCCACGAAAATGAGTTTGTGCAGCCAAAAATTGAGGTTATTGCCAAAGAGAACCCGCTGGATCCCGTCATGCAGACCCAGGTCCTGCACCACCGTGGCATGCAACGCTTTGTGGGTGGCCAGGTGAGGAATGGACTCCGAGGACTTTGTGCTGGCCAACAGCACTGGCTCATAGGTGCTGTGGTTTGACTGGAACACAGTCCAGTCATCACCAGGGAGGGGACCCTGCTCCACCTCATTCGCCCGGGTGACATAGAGCAGGGGGGCACTAGGGTTGATGTGATAGTCCCGCAGCCCCAAGTTGGAATGTAGGAAAAGGGGGAAACCCTTGAGCTGTGCGCTGAGCAGGCTGTTCTCATTGGCTTTGAAAAAGCCTATAATTCCCACTCCATATTCTACACAGTATTTGTCCAGCAGTTCTCGGTTCCAAGCGTCTAGGTTCACATATTTAAGGATGTTCTCGTAGATAATAAGAGCATAGCGTCCCCTGTCTTTGTCTGTCAGGGTGGGCATATCCCCTTTGCCAGGGGCGATCTCTGTCCTGTATTTAAACCGGCTAGATTCCAGGATGGCCACTATTTCCTGCCCCAGCTGGGAGTAAATGCTTTCCACAAAGACTAACACCACAGGATCTGTGCGTGAGGTGTCCACAGATTTTGTGAGCCTCCAGCTGGCTTGCGGTGGGATCAAGATGCGGTGCTGGTTGCTGCAGTCACTGAAGGGCAGGGGTGGTGGCTCCTTGATTTTGGGACTGTTAGTCACGTAGTAAGCCAGGATGCACATGGAGATCAGGCTGAAGCCAATGAGCACCAGGATCAATCTGTGGAGCTCCAGCTGTCGCACATGCCGCACTACTTTCCACAACTGAATCATGGTGAGGCGGGCTGCCCACCCCCTCCTCACACTCTGCACCCACGTCGCTCTTGAAATCTCCAGTGCCGCCGTGGCAGTACCCAGCAGCAGCTCCCAAAAAAGAAAGAGCAGCTGCACACAGAGACAAAGCTAAAGCGAACAGCTACAAGGCTAGACTCCCAGGGATCTGCCATTTATCTCAAGTAACCATGGCCCTCAATTCCCATCGCTCTTTTGTGTGCTCCCTCCTGTTCCTCTCCTCTCACTCAGGAAAGTCTTTTGGAGGAGCGGGGTTTCCCGAGTCTTGTTTCCAACAGCGAATCAGTCTGTCATCCTGTGCACAAGCAGGTTCAGCTCAGCCTTCCCAGGTGTCCCGTTTCTCATTTAGCTGTTTCGCATTCACATGATAGCCCCTTCTCTTTGCAACCTGCAATTTAAAAATAAAAAGTCAATTCTCAGTATGGATTCATGGCATTTAATGGGTCTGAGATGAAATGGCAGGATCAGCAGGTGCTAGGTGGGCAGCATCACTTGCCTGACAGCAGGCAGACCTGTTCCCTGGGAAGCGACACACACCATTTGTGAGAGAACTTGGCAGAAAAACCGTAACGGCCTTTGGAAGAAAGGTCCTGGCAGTGCATAGGGACTCTGCATTCGCCCTGGGCAAGATTCTCACACACTACAGCAAACAGAGCTGGTGTTCCTGGCCTTCCCCCACTCCTCTTTATGCCACTGAACAGAAAACATGAACCCCTTTTATTCTAGCCTGTATTTCAAAGTTACGAAGAGGAGGAGGGCGCCCTCACATTCTCTGTCTTGTCTGTTCTCACACTAATGATGATGGGTCCAAGTCCTTGCCAATGCCATATCCCCTATGCTCCTGGGATATGGCTGTCCCGAACCCAGCAGGATGCCTCGAGCAAATTCCACAGCTCCCGATTTCCACGGTTCCCACCGATCCCTATGAGGCTGCCCCACTTGTCCTGGCAACTCATGTTCTTGCAGGGCTCTCAAAACACAGCTCCGGAGAGGCATCGCCCCTCAGGCACCATGGGGCTGGCTGCCCACAGGCTGCCCACGCACTGCACACCTAATTGCTGCCAACCGATTCAGTGGCAGTTGGAGAGGAAACACCTCCTGAAACCTTCCTCACCTTCCCTCATACGCCACTGAAGAGCATGAAGCCAGTTTGAAATCACAAACAGCACAATGCAAATCTGGGTTGGTCTCAAATACGTGAAAGCTTCTTGTTACGAAGTGCTCTCACCTCCTGCTTTGTGTTTATGACAGCAGACTATTTCACCATATGTTGTTATTTTTCCAGGATAAAATGCTCAACAAAGCCAACAAACACCAAGCCATCTAAAAACATAAACAACAGGAAAAGTAACTAAGTTGCTCCTGGGTTTAAAAATAAAATCAAATCACTGCATAGGTTTCTCTGCCTTACCAGAAATGTGACTTACCTACATGGTAACATCACCTGCAACAGAGGCTCATTTTGGGCAGCACCCGCTGTCCCTCCCAGCACAGTGCCAGGACACCCTGTGTGCTGGATGTCGCTCACCAAGTCAGTCATGCCCCAAGTGAGCTCTCTGCGGAAGTTAAAAAACCTTTTTTCTCTCAAAACCTTGCTCACTCACACCCCCATGCTCCTCCAGACTTGTGCTCCACCACATGCAATCCTAGCCACCTGCTCAACTGGCACAGCTTGCAACACTGACAAGAGTAAAAAATACCACCAAAACAGTTTTTCATCTTTTCTCCATTCCTCCCACTTTTGAGCCTTTTTGTTACGATCATTCTGATAAAACAAAGAATATTAGAAGACTAGTTTTTCCATGAGTTTAAGACAGACATAAGGTTTTTATATTGTAAAGCTGGGGTTTTAACTAGCTCCACCAAAAAGAAACTACTTGTGAGACAGATGCTTATTTTGCTCCACCAGAAAAGAAAGTACTTGAGAGACAGATGCTTATTTTGTAATGTGTATTACTAAACAGAAAAAAATCCTTCTGAGTCAGGGAAAATATCAGTTCACAGATGAGGCCAAAAGACTCTAAAGACTCCCACCAGGCTGTTTTCCAAACTGCTGGTGCAGCTTGAAACAGAGGCAAAAAAACCCAAGCAGATTTTATATGAAGAGATATAATATTGCTAACTTTGTGACAGTGGATGGAAAAGTCAGAGTGCTCTTTACACAAGCCTTATAATGATCATTAAGTATTATCTCAAATAACTTCTATGGTATAAGCTCTGCAGTGCAGACCGGCTTGCGTAGTGCACAATGAAACCTTAGTCCCATTTTTTTTTCTTCCGAAGAGCTGCAGACTGTAAATGTACAGTATGTTACAGAAATCATTTTCCACTGGAGAAACTGAGACACAGATCTTACTGAAGGTCACACTGCAAGGCAGCAGATGAATCAAGACTAAAAAAAAAAAAAAAAAAAAAAATCTGTTCCCCAGACTCCAAATGGATCGAGTCTCCATTCCCAAATGTCCCTCCGTTGGAAATCCAGCTCAGCCAGTCACAGTAAGTTGTGTTTTCCTCAACACCGACAACCAATCATCCTTCAGTTTTGTCTCTACATACTGTTAACTTTTACTGGAAGGACAAGGGAGAGAAGGGGAGAAATTACTAAGGGAAGATGTAAAACCAGAATCCAGACAGTTTTTCCTTTTTTTGTTACTGAAGTGACAACTGATTTTGAACACGACTCTGAAATGAGTGCAGCATGCAGCTTGTAATGCCAATTCAAGTTCAGTCCCAGTGATACACTGGGACTGCCAGTGAATCAGCCTAACACCCAAACACATGTGCCACCTTTCAAAAGCAAGCAGGAAAATAACCCTTCCGCCTCCGCAAAGAGCCTCTCCCAGCCCACGGACTCTGCAAGGCAGGCCCCGATGTTACCACCCTCTTGCTCGGCGCTAGAGCTCCAAGGCTGCACTGAACTCGGAGAGGCAGGAGTCAGCAGCGGCAGAATTCAGCAGGGCAGAGAGGGGTTAGACAGAAACCTGTAATAAATGCAGTATCTTTTTAATGAGATTAATTCCCAGTAAGACACAACACATAGACAGCTCCGTGCTTATCAGCTGCTCTAAGAAGCGATTTTCATTCGACCCCTGTGCAACAAATTCATACAAAACACCCAGATTCCTACATACTCGATTTTGACCGAGAAGACTGAGAATTGCAAGACAGTGTCTTCCCAAATAACTCACATTCTTTCACTGTTTTGCTTTTTAGACCAGCTGAATAAAATAATTAGACTATTTCTCATTCAAAAATTCACTACCTTAACATGTATTAGACAGTAAGTTGCTTTTGCAGGAGAAAATAATGTAAAGAGCGACTTAGAAGCTCAGGGAGCCCACGTGCTGCAAGCACAAATTTCCAAAGCAAGCATTTCTGGGGTAGAATTTGTAATCTAAACACCACAGTAACAGTAAGAAAACCAAAAGTATGCTGATCTATGCAAAAGCCTGGCAAAGTACTGTACCACTTTTACGACTCTTTACCCCCAAAACATCAACCTGGAAAACACTTCCCTGCTTACACTCACTCACCTCTCCAACTTCACTTTTAGTGCTGAACTGAGTCTTTATTATGCAAGGAGCTGTAGCTTTTGTTTCCTGGTTAGCAGTTTAAAGATAAAAATCACAAGACAACCGGATTATTCTGTAGAATAAGGATGAAACCAGAGTTTAAGCTAAGCTGCCACACCTGCAGTGCCCAGCTGAGGGGCAAGAGGGAGAGGAACCCCTTTGCTGGGCACTTCTGAATCACAGCAGTGTTTTGATAACAATGACTCCATTCAAGCCTCTAGCGAAGCTCCCAAACAAGCCCTCATTTGTTACATGGGTGAGCTCAAAAAACCAAATTTTAAAAAAAGGCCTGTATCAGATTGCTGCTCAAGAATCTGTCAGCTCCAATCTCTTTAACAAGGCTTCACAGCCAGAGGGCATGCCAGCTGGCATGGTATGCATTTAGCTCTTTGGGGACCACATCAGCTGGTTTAGGTTCAAACGAAAAGGAAAAAAAAAAAAGGAACAACACAAATATACCAACCAAATCTATATGAAAGGTGAGAGAACCGTCAGAAAGCACTCATACCCAAAACACAAAGCCCAGAAAGACCTATACTGGAGAAAGCAAACAAACAAACACACTCCCACACTGAAAACTGCTCCTTTTTAAACAAAAGAAAATACCTGGCTCCTCCTTTGAGATCAAACTCCTTGGAATCCATAATCACAAAGCCCCTCAAGTTTACAGATAAATTAAAGTCCATGCAAACTCCTGTGAATTTCAGGAGGCAGCAGTTGGAACGCACAGCTAAGATGAAGCGTTTCACCAGTGCAAGGACGCAGGCTCAGCAGGCTCCCATCCTGCCAGAAAAGCATGGCTAGATCAGAGAGCACCAGCTGTAAGGTCAGCTATCTCACAAATCACCAGCATTAAGACACACGCTTTATAAGACTGAGATGTTCTGTTTCCTAGTGATACACAGTGTTAATGTGAAACATAAACCGTTTTGTGAATTATCAGCTGCTAAGCCACATGTCAACTGATGTGATAGGTATGAAAGCAAGATAGCAATCAGAAACGTGTGGGTTTAATGTCTGATCTCCAGATATTACCAACACTTGGAAATTATTGTGGGGGATCAGTACAAATGCTCAAGACCAGCACTTGTCCAAAACCAGAATATATGTATTTGAGGCTGGTGTACCTTCATGCCAAGGCACATGGAAGATAATGGGTGTCATTTGACACCTTCATCAAGAACTTCTGTCATACACGCTCCTTCCTAGCTGAGACGCGGAAGGTCTGGCCATCCTAAAAAACAGTGTCACGAGTACATTTCCCCAGCCCTTTTTGTTATTCATAATATAACCCCTCTTTCTGGAACACACAGCAGCAGGATCTTGCCTTTGTCCACCACAGCTCCAATTCAGAGGTCTTTGGCACTTCCTGCGAGACGGTTGTTGCCTTGGGCCCCAGAGGGACTGCAGTGATTGAGTTACACAGTAATCAGAGAAGGAATCGGATTGATTTTCCAACCTGTTCCACTTTAATGGTGTCATCGTTTGTCTGCTTGATTGCGAGACACCGCAGCCCCTCCCTTGTCTGTGGGGGTGTCCGTATGCCAGGCCTCCAGGTACAGCCCCCTCTCGCGTGAAGGGGGG